TTTAAATGGAACTATTTTGTGGATGGTGCCTGACACGCTGAAAATATTCACTGCTATAAAGTTTTTATGATCATTTTGTTGAAATGTTGTCGCACACAAAACTTAAACACTTTAGAATGATTTCAGTTATCAAGCTACTTACAAACTTACTTGCAGTTTATAAGTTGGTGTACAGTGACCATATGGAAACACTTGCAAACTAGTCATCACTGTACCAAGCACTGAGATTATACAGGAATGTGAGTGGAAAGTACAGTACATGATAATTTACCCTTGGGAACACACCCCTAAGGTGGGCCTAAAATTTATATTGCTATTTACTTGTGTAATTTAGAGGAGTGCCAAATATTAATGGAGTGTGTGGGTGAAACTATGTACCAGAGATCTGTACTGGTAATCCCATGTGTCAGCAAGTGAGTGCAAGGGTAGGACATTGCCTCAACATGCGTCATTTGTAATCAGTTTGTATTGAGTGACATGGTGCAGTATGGTCTTTTGCTCTACAGTGGGAATTAATATTGTCCAATTACAACTATTTTGTGTTTGTGTGTGATTTTGCTCTGTTTGAATTTCCTATTTATCAACTTTTTTTAATGTAATCATAAAGTAAATTTCACCACTGATTTTGAATTCATATTGATATTTTTTACTCTCTTGTAATTGTTATAAATATTATATGTATATAGAAACATTGTTTCAAATTGTTTCTCTGTTATAACCTTCATGATCACTAACATTTTTCTGCCTAGTTTTGTTATGTATTTTAATTTGTTTGTTAACTTTGGACTGAAAGGGCCTAATTTTTGATTTTGAAAACTTGTGGTTTTATTCATGTAAGGTGTTAACAGTTGACTTTGGCTCATGTCATGTTTAATGTGAGTCTCATACCACGTATACAACATATGTGAAATATGAATGCACACTTTGTGACGACTCTGGTACCTTAACGACAAATTTTCACTTTTGCACTTATTGTGCTTAGCGCCCTCAATGTTCGCAATAGCAAATATCTGAGAAGTGAGTCATAGTTATCCTACAGACTGTTTTATTCATACACCGTGTGTGTCATCTATATTTACACTTTCAGTGTGGGGTTGATATATATATATATCTATTTTCTAACTGAGTACAAGTCTTTTGTGGACATATTTTTTTGTTTTTTAATCTGAGGTTGTAAAAAATTAAATTGTCATGACCTAGCACCTAGAGGTCATTAACCCCTTATCAGAATAAACATTTTTTGTTTAAATGCTGTTCTTAGTTTTCAGAACAGGCTGATTCTTTCAAAAAAAAACAACACTTTTTACAAAGATAACAACCTTTGACCATTCAGAGTAGTTTCACCAAGCTATGATTAATGACCAGTGTCAGACTTCCCTGGTCAGAGTTTGCTATATTTTATACGGTGTGTTTATGAAAGTATGAAACAAACTCGTATACTGTAGATACTGTATGAGTAAAAAATCAGGTTATCGCCCTCTGGTGGTGGGTTTGCAAAAGAAAAATTACATTTTTTTTTATTTCATGAATAATTGTAAATTTTTTACATAAATTATTTTTTTGTTGTTGTTTACAGATTAACTCAATGTAGCGCTCTGGTTACAAATAATAGATACTGTGTGTATGAGGTACATGTAGGAGGCAATTGCTATGGCAACGTCTGTAAGATGGAGAGATGAAATGGAAGATGGTGGTTCGCTGGAGGAAACTACAATATTTCTTATGGATGAAGATGAAGAAATGGTAAAAATCCAAATCTATATAAGGCATTTATATTTTTTACAATTTAACTTTTTTTCCATTGAAAGTGGTAGCTATCAGCTGTTACTGTTGAAAAGCTATGTAGAATACAGTAAACAATTCTATTTTCAATACTGCAAGTTTTCATGATGTGAAAATTGGATTGCATTCGTGAAAACTCAACATCTCTCCAGCATCAAATCCCCCAAAAATGTAAGCGTCACATTTCACATAAACAATGTAACTATGTCGAATGGGACCCACAATACATCACAACAACTGCAACATTTTAACTAGTAAATAATATTTACTTCTACAGTATAAAAAAAGTCTGTTCAAAATACTGCTTTGCGAGCACTGGAGAGAGATTTGACATTTATGGGGTAAAAAGCCACCTGTGAGGGGGCTGTTTTAAAACCTGTATCACCTACTACAAAGCCATTACTTTTGACTGGTATTTGATTTACCTATTTGAGAAAACAATTCACTGGGTTTTATATTCATGAATTTTTCAGTGAACAGTGACTTCTTTTGTATTTTACATTTTACGTGGATTTAGCAGATTTCATTTATCAGCGAAAACATCAAAATTAAACCAGCAAAGGATAATTAATGTTTTTACAATACAATGTGACATGATTTATATATGTCTATATTTAGATCATTTAGTGTATATATATTTAGAAATGTCACCTGTAGAGATCCCTATGTCTAAACAATAAATAGAAATTATGCAATTTTCCATGGTGTGCAGTTAATAGGAAAACATCTCCAAAAACATTAGTGCTAGTCCCTTTTCCATAGACGTGCTTTTGGTTTTTAATTTCTATATTTTGTTCAATTTGATCAATATACGGTGTGTAGTATTTTGTTTGTTTTGATTTCATATATTTTATTTAATTCTTACCATAGTTGCTTTATTGTCTTGTAATTTGTTTTATTTTGTATTTCTTGATTTAAAAAAAAATTCCAAAACAAAAAACTATGAGCAAATAATAAAATGAATATGAAATCGATATATGAAAAAATAAATAAATAATTAATTAATATTTAAAAAAAAATTGAAATGAAATAAAAACAAACAATCAAACTAAATCGTATTATAATTTTAATCAGACTGTTGTTTCTCTAAAATGAACTGTTTGGTTTAGACTGATTTTCAGTTTACATGGGGTTTGTGGTACACATGCTTTACAGGTACAATTATGATTGTTGATGATGACTGGATATTTTCGGATTAAATGATTTTCACAATAATTAACATTAATAATACAGTTGTATATTTGATAGAAAATGTTCTTTGTTCGTCAAAATCAAAAAGTAGCAAAAATCTGATTGCAGCAACTTAAGAAAAAAAAACAGTTTTCAATTATATAAAATAATTATCCCAGTAACTGTTTTGATCCCTTGAAAATTATAAGTAAAATAATGTAAAAAAAAATTTATATACTGATCTTGATATTCCGATATATCTTAATACTTTTTTTTTATCCTAATACACTATTGACCATTGGCCCTATGTTCCAATGAATACAAGTTAAACGCATTTCAGTCAAAAGATCACACATAGAAAATTACATTTAATTCCTGAGTTCATGAAAAACGTGAATTGTTGACATTGTCAATAACCTGTGCATTTGTTAATTTTAGATAATTATTTTTATTTGGAAATTCATAATTTGAATATGTTGATCGTATCAACTAGATATAAACAATATTGTATTGTAATTCATTTCACATAGATTTTATCCAATGGGTCGCACTGAACAGCGAAAATAACTAAATTAATACCAAGGGAATAATTAATGCATTCATAACCCCCCCCCCCCCCCCCAACACCACCACATACAGCACGATCAGCATACCAACCTAAGAAACACTGGATCTTAGCAGCAAAGTACCCTTATTGTTATCAGCGATTTATTCCACGTACGATTTGACTGATAACAAGGCAAACAGTGGATGAGCAAACATGTACTGTAGTCTGTTGTGAGTTGATTGATAAAAAGCGTACTCCAACATGCATTATGAACTACGCGAGCCACAGTTACCTCATATTAAACCATGGTGAAATAGGGGAATTATCGAACTCTTTCAAAATTTGAAAGGATACTTTGAGACTTTGTGGCATGCAGCTATGGGTTGCTGCGTGTACGGGTCGCGGATATGCCGTAAGGTAATACTTTAACACCTATAATTCATTTGTAATTCCTTGGATGACCTGTTGATAGTAATTCGTGGCTTATCAATGACTGGACCAAATGTTCCGCTGATTCATTGTCGTTCATGTTTCCCGTTTAATGATCATCCAGGTCAGTATTTTTTATTGTGAACGAGTTATACTCCATTGTTTCTCACATCTATTGTTATGAAATCTATTGTTATGGAGCAACACATTCTTTCATTGTTATACC